ATCCCTGAGCAATGTAATTATTATACCGATATAAGTCTGTAGTGTACTTAATAACTACTGGTCCTGCAACTGCAGGATTAGGCCTACAAGTGAACCAATAACTGCTTTAAAAAAGTCCAATTCACCATTATTAAGCTGTTTGTTTCTCTTTTGTATTTCTTTCATTCTCCAAATCGAGCTAAACCATGTTCAGTTTCACTTTCTGGTTCTCAGGCACTAGCCCAGCATTGCAGTGTTGTGTTGCAGGTACTGCTTGGGAGTGTAGAGATCTAAAAGTGTGTTCACTAACATATAGATCTTCATGTCAGGGTGTGATGCCCCCCAGCCGCCGCCATCCCCATGAACATTATTAAAGAGGCTAAATGCTGGTGTCATAGTAGCTTCTGGGAGCATCCAAAAATAAGAGGGATAGTGCAGAAAGTTACAAGGGAAACTTTTTTTGGCTCCATTCCTTCCAGAAGCTGCTATCCTGGTGCTGTCGAATGGCTTACAAAAGTTCTTCAAGAAACCTGTGAGCTTCTCTCTTTAAAGCCTCGCATTGTGCTCTAAAGTTCAAGTTGTTTGGATGATGCTTGGGAAGTCCTTCCTCACCAGCCTGGGAGCTGCTTTGTGCATGGCCAGGGAGCAGGATAGGCTTCCTGCTCTCACAGAGGCTTCTCCCTTCCCCCTCCCTGTTGTCTGCCGGCAGCTAAGCTTGTACCTGTGGGAAAAGTCGCTCCTTTGTTTGCTCTAGCATCTCGCCTGACTGATTTTTATCTCTTTGCTTGCTCCGTGACTGCCACGTCGCACAGGGCAAGGTGGTGAGAGTGACTGCCCAGGAGTACAGGTGTTGGTGGCTAATTTTCTTTTTAATGGAAGATCCTAGAAAACAGTGCAACTGAATGAGTTTATTCAGGTGTGAGCATGGTGATCTCCTGTGGTTTAAAGCACAAGACAGGGTTCTAGTTCCACTTGCTCTGCCACTGACCTGCTTTGTGGAACTGGGTGTATTACTTAACCTCTGTCTGTTCACACATCTGTGAAATGGGAATAATACTTGCCAACCCCCGCAGCAATATTTGTGGCTTAACTAATTGAAGGTACTTCGTCTGAAAGGTGCTGTGGAATGATAACGTATTACTATTAACTCTGCAGCTGAAGATCAGTAGTTGATTCATTCTGAGCATTAGACTTTCAATTGTGTTTGAAAGAGGAACCTGCGGGAGAACTTGGGAACTTGGCGCTAACCACAACTTGTGGTTGAGGGAGCTCTGGTCTACTTCCTTAAACTCTTCAGGGAAGGATCATCTTGTGTCTTTTTAAAAACAGTTATACATTTTAAAAAGCGGCTACATATAACTCTAAACACAAACCACAGGCATTATCATAGTGGCTTCCTCTGCCAGCCTTGTACACTGCCGAAAAGGCACATGTACATCAATAAAGACTCTGTCTTCATATGTATTTGTACAGCACCTAGGGTGACCAGATGTCCCAATTTTATAGGGACAGTCCCGATTTTGGGGTCTTATATAGACACCTATTACCCCCACACCCCAGTCCTGATTTTCCACACTTGCTGTCTGGTCACCCTAACAGCATCTTGCACAGTAGAGCCCTGATTGGGGAATCGGGGCGTTACCATCATAAAATGAGTAATCCCCTTTGTACTCAAGTCAGCCTCTGCCAGAGAGTCCTTTGTAATGGAAAAGCTCTCCCTTATCCTCACTTCTATGCTTGGTTGTAGCGACTTTACGTTAGCTGTGTGATGACATTGCTGACAAGACAGCCTAGGACTGGCCTCCCCATCTGTGAACAGAATGGATGCACATGAAATCTCTGCTGTTATTGTCATTAACTTGCTGTATCACCAGGCCCCAAAACCTGTTGGAAACACTATCTACTTGAGCAGAAAAATAGGCTACTAAATTCCAGTAGCTAAATAGAATTATTTGTGCTCCCTCCTTTGTGCAATACGTAAAATACAAAGAAGGGCCAGGATTTTCAGCAATAGTCACCTAAAGTTAGGCACTTATTTAAATGTGGAGCACCCCACAGCTCCTACTGACCCACATGGGTGCTGCTGAGAACTCAGCTAGTTTTGAAAATCAGCTACTTATATAGGTGTCAAATTGTAGGCTCTTGTTTCTCAAAGTCATGGCCAAGTCTAAGGCCTTGTCTAAACACACAGTGTTTTAACTACACTGCTATAAAGTGATGTATTCTCCCCACACATTCCCAGTGTGGATGTTGTTAAATACGTATAGTGTTTGGGAAGGGGAATAAACTATACTGACACCAGGTGCTTTCATACTGGTATAACTGTGTCAACGCTAGGCCTTGTAGTAGTATAACTTTTGGTGGGAAAAATCTCATCCCTGAATATTTGTATTGATCCAAAATCTGTGTGTAGCCCACAAATCTGTTGCGAAAGAGTTTAGGATTAGATTGATTTGTAATATTTTTTGTCTTTTTATATGGATCATCTTTCATCTAAAAAAATATTCTCTCTTATCATCTCCACCCCAAGATCAGACTTCTTAGTTATTCTTTTCTATTTCAGGCATTAAACTTTTTCTTGTTGGGGTGATAGTTGCCAATTTATTCAGTCTTAATCTTTTCTATATCTGTGCACTTTTGAATTTGCTGGAACAATTATTGTGTTGTAGAGTTAGGAGGTTGGGAAATCTGTGAAACATTTCAGTCAGCTCTTAAAATATTAATTAATTTGAGAGGTGTTCCATGGAAGCTGTATTAAGGCGCTGGCTTTAAGATTCCTGTTTGACCAGTCTTACCAAGGAAGATAATGGGCTTCCAGAGAAATGATCCATTGCCCAAGCAGAGCCATCAAGAAGGATAGGCGTGGTCGTGGAGTCTCCACACCCACACTTTGAGTGTGAGGTGGAATACCAGCTGTCCTGTGGTTTGTAGACGTGATGGTTTGTGGGCTATCAAACCATTAAAATATCACGGGTCTAGGACTGAGGATTGCATGTACTGGGCCTTGGACTAGTGAAAAGGAGGAAATCCTTCTTGTAACAACATTTTATGTACTAAAAAATACAGCCAGCTGATTTGCTCAGAGGCTTGGAATGTTAGAAGCTTTGACAAAGATGGATTTGTTGGCAGAGTGCAGGTGAAGCAGTCAAAGGTACACAACAAACTTGTTAACCCAGTACTTGAGTTTTTCACATGAATATCATGGCCACATATGTGGCGTGCATGTATTTTTATATATATATATTTTTTTAAGCAGTAAGATTCCACTGACATGAGCATGGCCGGTGCTACAGTTTTCCGTGTGGTATGTGTACACTCCTCCCTACCAGTAGTGATCAGAATGCTTTCACTTTTAGCCATAAATCTACATACAAAGTTCTGGCCTGGGCTTTTTAATACCCCTTCATGAGCCTGGCAGAATGGAGAGGGAGTCCAGTTTCCATTCTTCTTGGAGATTTGACTTCTAAATGATTTAGATAGTGGTACACAGAATACACCTATAAAGTTTGTGGACGATGCCAAGCTGGGAGGGGTTGCAAGTGCTTTGGAGGATAGAATTAAAATTCGAAATGATCTGGACAAACTAGAGAAATGGTCTGAAGTAAATAGGATGAAATTCAATACAGACAAATGCAAAGTACTCCACTTAGGAAGGAATAACAGATTACACACATACAAAATGGGAAATGACTGCCTACGAAGGAGTACTGCAGAAAGGGATCTGGGGTCCTAGTGGATCACAGGCTAAATATGAGTGGAGAACAGTGTAACACTGTTGCAAAAAATAAAATAAAATAAGCAGACCTCATTCTGGGATGTATTAGCAGAAGTGTTGTAAACAAGACCACGAGAAGTAATTCTTCTGCTCTACTCCATGCTGATAAGGCCTCAGCTGGAGTATTGTGTCCAGTTCTGGGTGCCACATTTCAGGAAGAATGTGGACATATTGGAGAGAGTCCAGAAAAGAGCAACAAAAATAATTAAAGGTGTAGAAAACATGACCTGTGAGGAAAGATTGAACACATTGGGTTTGTTTAGTCTGGAGAAGACTGAGAGGGGACATGGTAACAGTTTTCAAGTATATAAAAGGTTGTTACAAGGAGGAGTGTGAAAAATTGTTCTCTTTAACCTCTGAGGATAGGACAAGAAGCAATGGGCTTAAATTACAGCAAGGAGAGGTTTAAATTGGACATTAGAAAAAACTTCCTAACTGTCAGGGTTGTTACACATTGGATCAAATTGTCTAGGAAGGTTGTGAACTCTCCGTCATTGGAGATTTTTAAGAGCAGGTTAGACAAACACCTGTCAGGGATGGTCTAGTTATTGCGTAGCCTGCAGGGGACTGGACTAGATGACCTCTTGAGGTCCCTTCCAGTCCTATGATTCTGTGCTTCTTTCCTCTCTTGAACAGATTTCCTCTAAAATCCTTTCTGAATCCAAGGTTTTATCATGGCAACATGATGCACTTACCAAATGCCTGGCTATTTAACATTACGTCCTTCCCTTTGCTCTGCTTTTGCACTACAGTGCTGTGGAGAGGGATCAGATTCTCAGCTTTGGAGACTGAAGTCTTCTGTCCACAGAGCTCACGCAGCACAAACATCAGTAGAGTTAGCCCCTCTTTCACTGCCCTGACCCAATACCTGGCTGCTGCCTGGCAAGGCTTGGAGGGGCAAGTCTGCAAGACATTAAATAGGTTCCGAAATAACTGTTGAGGCTCATGCGATGTACTAGTGGTGAATGCAGCATGTCTGTCTCACAGGCAGTACATGGAGTGTGGTAAGGTTGCATTTGGGCTCTGTCTCAGGTACTGGAGAGACCCATCTCACTGTAATGCCATGTAATCACCGCCCTGTGTTGCTCCAAAAACTTGCCTTTTAAAATAGTGTTATCAGTGCACTGCTCCTTGGTACCCAAGTGGTTGAAACCTGATTGCTGTTGATTTGTTGCTGCTTCATCTTTAGTAGAGTGTGGGACCCTTTTCCATGCCAATGAAAAGTTATTGCTCCTTTGCCCCACAGGTAACATGGTGGAATGGTGTTTGCCCCAAGACATTGACTTAGAAGGTGTTGAGTTCAAATCCATGGCAAGTGGGTCGCACAAAGTCCAGTCGGATTTCATGTGAGTATATTTGTGCTGCGCTGCTCCTTCCCATCCTCCTTAGCCACACACGCCCTCCTCCCTTAGTCCAAAGCAGTAAAAATGAGCACTGCCCATCAACTAAGGCCTCCCAAATTGACTTGTCACAAAACTAGCTGCTTTGGAGTGAATTTTCCAGATATTTAGCATCTGCTGCATCAAACATCTGCTATTTATGTAGGTCCTAACGTAGAATGACTTCTGCTATGGTGGCCAGCCTGCCAACAAGAGCAGACCTGGTTCCTAGAGGTACTGACTCTAACGCATGAGGCAGGAACAAACAAGGAAGTTAACAGAATTGCTAATTTCAGGCTCTATTAGGAATATCTGCAGTCAGGCCCCGTGGTGGGGATGGAGCAAATTCTTTTTCAAATGGAAAAGAGTAAAACTGGGGGGAAGGGGAGGTTTTTTTGTTTGTGGTTTTAAGAGAGAACACAAAAGAAAACATGTTTAAAAAAACTTGGATGTCTCCTTCAGATGTTGAGTAGTGATCATGTCCTGTCCCCATTTCACTTCCTCCTCCTAATGGGAATTCTGGTTCACGCCCTTCCCGTTGTATTCCTCCCCTCTCTCCTCTCAAGGGCCCCAAGTTGTGGTGCCTCCCTTTGGCCAAGGAGGACCGACAGCTGCTCCCTGTAGAGCTTGTAGATTCCACTCTCTGCTTGGCCAGAGGAGGTGTTTCATCTGCAATGTTTCCATTCTCTGCAAGCCTGGGAGATGGCTTGGGGGCCAAACAGGCCATTGTTATGACAGCTAGTTTCACTTACTTTATAAAGTGTGGTGTGTTATCCTCACTGTTCTTTGGAAACATGACGTTATGCTCCCTGGGCCTGGCTTTCTACCTGAGCCTCTCTTCTGAAAATTTCCCTATCATTGCTAACACAGGTTCCACTGCACCAGTGCTAGCAAAGGTCTGGCTTTTAGTGGCAGGAGAGGCACTGGAGGCTGCCAGCTTTCTGAATGCTGTGTAATGTAGACCATGCTCTCAATAGATTTAGAAGACTTGGTTAAAATGGCAGAGGCCTGTGTGCACAGGAGGAGATGAAGGGGGTGGGGAATTGATATTTTTGATGGCCCTTCCTAGGATCTGCTTGTTATACCTTGCCATGTATATGCCTCTCTTCCCACTCCCCCCTTTCTAGTTATTTTTTGTTGCACATTTGTCCCCAGTTATTTCCGGAAAGGGCTCTGCTTCGGCCTGGCCTGCTTTGAAAACATGCCCGTGGAGAGCGAATTAGAGCGTGGCGCCCGCATGAAGTCTGTGGGGATTCTCTCCCCTTCGTACACCCTGCTCTATAGATACATGCACTTCCTGGAGAACCAGGTCCGGTAAGTTGTCTGTGGGATACAGGATTGGCTGCCTGTGCACCTTACTGAAAGGTCTGAACGTTTGTGTGGATGGTTGGATGTGAAGGTTTCCCAGGCTACACTGAACATCAGGTTGGGTGTCATTTGAAAGGTAACTTTCCCTGGATGTGCAATAAGGTTTTGGCTTTGAGCTAAGACTTTGAAATGTTGCCCCACTAAGACCTTTTTCCGAGAAAGAGTACTTCTCCGTGTGTGTGTTACAGGAAATGAAGATAATGATGGAGGAAAGAAATTAAAAAAAATTACACACTGAAGTGGTCCTGTATTACTAACTCAAGTTTAATCTGCTGGAGAATTGCTTGTTTTGAACAGGTATTAGAACAAAGTAATTGTTGATTTCCCTCCTGTTCCTTAAAACATCAATTTGCTAAAGGTTTCTTGAAATATTTTTAGAGCCAACAGTGAGATTTTGTTCTTGGCTACATACATGCTTCTGCTGTCTACACGAAAAGCGCTCTCCAGTGGGACTGCAGGATCAGAGCTTGCTAAGGGAATTAAGTAAGGGTAAAAGAGGACTTGCAGGAAAACACCATCTTGTTTGAACTTGTTCTAAATGTTAAAAACCAGGATCCATTCTACCATACATGGAGTATGAGAGTCCTGCCTGACCGTATCAGCCCTGCCCAGGTTCCTTGGATGCACTGAAAGATACAGATGCTCATGATGCTGGTGCCACAGCCTGTGAAAACTGAGGCACCCAAGGCTGAATCTCGGACTAGGAGACATATGTGGCTATGGGCACGGGCCCTGGGGTCTGTGAATCCATAAACCTTTGCTACTTTTTGTCTTTTCCAGACACCAGCTGGAGATGCCAGGGCATTACTCCCACCTAGAGGCGTTCTATGATGACAAGAAGGGGGTTCTCCCTGCTGGCAAGGGTACCTCCAGCTCTCAGCCACCCGTCCACTGGCTGCCCTCCATCCACAGATACATGTATCCAGAGATGAAGGTGAGGCTGGCGCTGTCCAGCTTGTATGAACATGCAGTGCACTGATGCTCCCGATGGGTATAGGACTAGCTAATTTGCGTATAGCAAGTCTCCCTGCTGGCCAAGCTAGTGGAGTTTTCTCCATGCATTTCAACATTCATGGGATGAGCCCTAAGCTACTCAGGCAGCAGCTATCCTCTGTTGCAGTGTGCTGCTCTTGCTCCCACGCATCTAGTATTACAAGCATTGGGCGGTGTGTATCTACAACTTGCTCCCATATTCTGCTTCTGTATTTAGCATCTCTGTGTGTGTTCCTGTAGCATCTCTCACAAGCCATTCTCTTCCCCTGGCCCTCAGATCACACACCCCGCAGGCTGTATGTCTCAGTTCATTAAGTTCTTTGGAGAGCAGATCCTCATCCTCTGGAAGTTCGCTCTGCTACGCAAGCGCATTTTGATATTTTCACCACCGCCAGTAGGAGTTGTCTGCTATAGAGGTACGGAGTCAAGGTCAAAACCCTCAAACCTCTACCTTCCCATGCCTGAAGGACAGTGACTTTTACACATGTGCACACACCCCTCCTTGCTGATACGGAGGGATGCAGTGCCATTCTCCTAAGCCCACTGCTAGAGAAGGGGATGGGCAGGGTTTTGCAAGGCAACCCTGAGGCTCCCCTCCCCCACTTCTTGCAAGCATGCTTTGTTGGTCCGAAGAGCTATGAACCTCAACTCGTGTCTCTGTGTGGCCGCATCAGATGCTGTTGCCTGACTTTCATTCCACCAAGCAGCGGGGTGCAGGGGGAGATAATGTCTAAACATTCTGCAGGAACTTAAGTAAGAATTTAAATAATGTGTTGCCCAATGGGAGAGTCAGAGGGAAATGTAAGCATTTCAGTGTCAGTCAGATGCCACTATGCTGTGCTATGAACACTGTGTTAAGGAGCACTTGGGGCAAATGGGGACAAGAGAAACAAGGAGGGGGCACTGTGGACCCTACTCAGAGGGAATATTGTGGGCATCATGTTATCCCTTTCTCTCACCTGCAGTGTATTGCTGTTGCTGCCTAGCCAATGTCTCGCTGCCTGGCATTGGGGGCACCGTTCCAGAGTCTAAGCCTTTTTTCTATGTGAATGTGGCAGACATAGAAATGCTGGAGACTGAAGTGTCTTATGTGGCCTGTAAGTACAACAGCTTCTTTCCTTCCCTACTGCTTCACCCCAAGCTGCGATCTCTGATGGGTCAGGAGGTACCTTTTAGAACTTAAGCTGAAAAAAATCTCCTGATGGTGAGAGATACTGTGAAATAAAAGAGGAGAGATCTTAACCTGCGTGGGTATGGCCAGGTACTGTTCTCACCCAGCAAAGACTGGATTGTAACGTGCCTGGGTGTGGCTGTGTCTTGTTCTCATCGAAAAGCAAAGCAAGAGAGAGTGTCTGAAAATCTCCCTCTCACACTGGTCCCGGCAGGCACAACGGAAAAGATCTTTGAGGAGAAGCGAGATCTCTACGATGTCTATGTGGATAACCAGAATGTGAAGACGCACCATGAGCACCTGCAGCCGCTCCTGAAGATTAACAGTGCTGACAAGGAAAAATACCGGCGGCTCAATGACCAGAGGTAGTGGAGGGGACCTGAGTGGTGGAGCGATGGGACCAGTATCTCGATCTCTGAATTGTCTTGTCTTCATTTTCCTGATTTCTTGCTGCTTTGGTTCATTCTTTTGACCCTCTCATTCAACACCTTTATGGTGGCTGTTTGTATTACAGCAGGGCCTAGAGACTTCAGCTGAGATCAGGGCACCTTTGTGCTGGGCACTGTGCAAACACATAGTAGTAACCCGTCCCTGTCATTCTTAAATAGACAAGGTAGATGAAGGGTGTGAAGGGAAACAGGCATGGAGATGAAGTGACTTTGCCCAGGGTCATGCAGTGGGTTTAGGGGCAGAGCTGGGAGTAGAATCCAGATTTCTTGACTACCAGCCAAGTGCCCTGTCCATGGGACTCTTCTGCCACCTATAGATTAAAGATGAAGGTTTTGGTATCTTTATTTCCAATAAATGGTGATGTCTTCGTCAGAATACTGTTGCTATTGTTCTGTGTTTCGTTGCTTGTACATGTGTTTGATTTGCCTCCCTTCTCCCAGGCAGATGTTGATGTACTCTCAGGAGGTGGAGGAGGACTGCAGCTCCTGTGAAGAGGACCTCTTTATCTTGTGAGTTGCTCTCTGCACCACTGAATAACAACCAGGCTGTGGGGAGTCTTTGAAGTGTGGTTTTGCACTGTGGGCCTGTGCACCAATGACAGCCTGGGGTCCAATCGTTGTCTCACTGGTTTCATATCACACTAGCTTAGCTTGCAAATAGAGATGTTTGGGGGGCTGGAAGTGTTTGGAGGGGATATGGAGACCCATAAAGCATGGGCTGGAAATAGAAGAGATTTCTAGAACACCAGCATCTTCTGACCCTCTTCAGAATTCCTGGCTATGCTGGGGGAGGCTAAACAGCTTGTTGAGGTGCAGATAATGCTCTGGCTGTGGGGAGCAAACTGCCTCTGCTTGTTGGCTGGGCGGTTACATGGGTGGCAGTTTCAGAGGAGGCTGGGGTGAAGGGTTGGGTAATGCTTGTGTGGTTCCTGAAGTCTGTGAGGAAATACATGGCAGCCGAAGTACTAAGGAAACGCTGGGCTCCTCCAGTGGAGCCCTTCACCATGGACTATTATTGCTCATGCCTGTGGTGGGAAAGGGATATACATGAGTAATGCGATGAAATTGTCTAAAGGAAAATTGAGGGTGAATATTAGGGAGGGCTTGCCAAGACTGAGGTGCTTTGGACTATGAACAGCCTGCCACAGTGCACAGGGGAAGCCTCATTACTCGAGTTATTTAAAACTAGACTGTGGTTGGAGAGGCTATGGGACCAGGAACAGTGCTGTACCTGAAAGGGGATGCAGGTGGTGGCCAATTGAGCTTTCATCTCCCAAGTTCTGTTCCTTGTTTGGTGTGGAAGATTAGTCATAGCTAGAATCTGGTGGCTCAAGAACAGGTAATGGAGAAATCATTTGGGTCAGCGTAGTGGCTTGGTGCTTTTGTCCACTCAGTTCCCCTACTGCCCCTACTGTATTAGGGGAAGACATATGTTGGATTTTTACACTTGGTCTTTTACTCCCCACAGTAAATGTGTGTGAGTCAGCGCCTAGCTTAAATAAGCCAGCCTGAAGCCTGTTGAGTAAAAGTTGTTACTGACCTACCACAAAAGTCAGGACTGTGCAATACCATGGTGCAAGGAAGGTAGGAATGTTTAAAGTGGGACTCTGGGAAGGGTGTAGAAAATCTGTCTTCCATTTTTCTTTTTATTCCCATCTCCTCTTCCCTTTTGGCTGTGTCCTCTTGCAGGTTTTTCATGGAGCAGAACAATCGGATATTTCAGACACTAATGGAGGTGTCAGCCAGCCAGGACAAGACCTTGACAGCTGACCATGCCCGGGGCATGGGCCTGGACCCACAAGGTGACCGAAGCTTCCTAATGGACCTGCTGGAAGTGTATGGCATTGATGTCATGCTAGTCATTGATAACCCCTGCTGCACTTAAACTGAGGACAAGAGAGACAGGGAGCAGCGATGGCTTTTTAAAGACTATGGAACATTGCTTAGGAGCATCACTGGAACTCACCACACAGTCACTGGAAGGATCTCATTTATTTAATAACTTTATACAGAAAAGTATTTATAATTTTAAACAAAATGTGATTTTATTTTCCTTTCTTCAGGACTGACTGCTCAAGGTTTGGTTTGGTTTTTTTGTGATATCCATAGGAGCAACAGCACCTTTTCACCAACCCTCACAGTTGACATTGGCAACTGTTTTTGGCCTAGTCTGGATTTGTGAGGCGCTGGAGATTTCAGGGAAAGCACCTTCTCTCATGGGGACCAATGTGGAATCATGTATATTTGAGCCTTCAGGAGTTGACTGTGGAGAATGTTCCCTCCAACTGGGTATCGTACAGTGCTCCCCAATCTTTTCAACATCCTCCACCCTACCGTGTCTCTCACTGGGGACAGTTAATTATGCAAATTAGACTCTGTACACCCCACTTGCCCACCTTTTCAGCAGTTGAGGTGGAGTCCAACCACCATCCCCATCTATGGCAGAAGAAAACTGTTAAGACTAGATGCGCTACAGGATCACGTGATCACTTTAAATTATGGGATGGTAGAAAGTGTTACAGTCTCACTTCCAGCATTTGAAAGGTGGCGTTATCTCAAGCCTACCCTCCCTTTTTCATGCCAGGAGTGCAGGAGAACAGAGAAGCTCTTCACCTCCTGGTGTCTCCTAACTCCTCCTTTATTTATTAGTTGCATGGATCCTGCTTTGATTAAAGATTTTAAAACAGCAGGATAGTGTCCAGGTAGCTCCCGCTGAGCAGCGACCAATATCACAACGGCACCCTGCAGTTGCTGTGCTTTGCAGTCTCTTCTGAGGGCAGGCTTGAGCATCGTTGATAGAGCTGTGTGGGAAATGCTTGGCTCTAACTCCTCATCAGCACTTCCTTCCTGGCTAGCTTCAGCAACAGAACGGGCAGAATCTTTCTGCAGGGTCTGCTACTTACTCCGGCTTCCTGTTTTGTTCTCCCAGTGCCATGAGTTTGTATCTGTTTGTGCTTAGCCCTGGCTACCTACCAGTTATTGTTCTGCTTGAGCGTTCAGTTAAGTGGATCATCTTTTGTCAGGCAGCTGTCAATGGGACAGTCCACTTATTTTTCAGTCAGAGATCCAACCTCTTGTAGCCCTGGTGCCTGGCTGGCCTTACTATTTGCAATGAGTTCCCTTGTGGCTTGGAGTTCTCTTCTGACTCAGCTGCCAGAAGAGGAAATGAGGTTGTGTGTGTATTGGTGGGGGGGAGTCAAAGTACCAGATTTTTCTTCCTGCCCATTAGCTCTGCTTCTCCTCAGCATTAGGATTTCTCACTCCTCAGCAATGGGTGTGGGCCAGTGACCACTGGCTGGACCATAAGGCCCCTTGCTTGTTCCTGTGAAAGGCTGGCTCTGTTCAGCATGCCTTCCTCCCCTTGCAACACTTGAATGTATGGTGCTAAGTCCTAGGAGTAACTAGCTGCCTTACAGCACCTGATGTTCTTACTGGCACTCGTTCAACAAGGGAGTACCACTGACTGCCCTGTCCTGGTGACTTCAGTAGGTTTACTCACATGTTGGAAGTTAGGCTTATGCTTAAGTACCTTGTTTGAACTGGGACCATAATGATCTAGCTGCCCTTTCCCCTACCCTTATTTCAGCATCGTGGCTCTCTTGTAAGCCATAATCCAGTATTTCATGTTCTAGCCCTATAGCTACTATGGAAGTGTTTCTTGCCATCAGCAGAGTGGACACTCCAGTCCTTCTTTCTTCTGGATTTTGCTGCTGGATAGGGTTCAGCCTGACCACGCTACATTCCCCCAGTTCCTTGTTTTAACCCGTATATTTATTTACACACACCTCCCCCTCAATGAATACCCTACACTGCATCACTGATTTAGCGTCCGTGCCTTTTGAGGTGCTTAGAGGCAGGCACGTTCCATCTCTCCAGGGAGTTTATCTCCAGCAGACATCTCAGCTGTTTGCTTGAGATTCAGGGTCTTTCCTAACCCAAGGGAGCAGAGAGCTTGATGTTGAGGGAAGGGAAAGGATGTGGCACAGGCAAATCAAGGCCCTCCTAGTGCTAGTTTAACTAGTATAATACATAGCACTTCACAGCCTCCAAGTGCTGGGTGAGCAAAGTGGACTCTCTTTTTTTTTTCTCTCTGCTTCTCCTGGGCTCTGGCTACTTTCCTACTGGAGAAAAACGTGCTGCTACTTTTGTTGTGTATCCTCTGCAGTTGTATTGCATTAATTCTCCCAACAAGGCTAGGGTGTGACAGATGGAAGAATCTGAACAGAGCTGGTTGCAATTAAAAGGTCACTTCTGAGGAAGGCTTTTTCTTGATTTTTGTTTTGTTTTTCTTCTGACCTCTTTTTCAAGCAGAATCGCCCAATACAATCCACATTTGACTCTGCCTTCCCACCTCATTTCTGTTGGGTTCTATCTCTCTAGCCATCCCCACCCAAAGAAGATTCTCTCTGCAAGGAGGAAGGTACGGCAGACTTGCATTACTAGGGCTTGAGTAACCTGTTAGGAATAAACAAAGGCATTGAAATGTGAATCACCTAGCTCCTTTTCGCTACTGCTTGACTAGGAGTTTTGCTCTGATCAGCTTGGGGGGGCCCTCTCCTGCTCCCACTGAAGTCAGTAGTTCTGTTGATCTGAGTAGGAGCAGGCATTTAGTTTGTATCCTTGGGAAGTTACAGCCCTCTGCAACCTGAGTCTTTCAAACATGTTTCTGAGCTGCAGCAGGGCTGTGTGTGTTCATGTGCTGTCTGAAAACCAGCTCCACCAGATGGCATTGCCAGAAGAGGATAAAGGAGGAGCAGCAAAGCGATGGCATAGCTAGGGTAAAAGAATCAGCTGTCTTGCATCCCAGCTCGATAGCTATAGCCTGTCTGGTCTCCTGTTTCCATAAGTCTCTCTTGAAAGGCAGATGCTGCAGGAGGTGAGAAGTATCCAAACAAGAAGGGCCTCCTCGTTACCCTCTTGGAAGGAATTTGCTGCCTAAATATGAGGCAGTGCTGTGAGTCACCTGCTCTGGCTCTCTGAAGTAATTCCTGCTCATGCCTGGCTTCTTGGTAGTGAATGCAGTGGTAGTTCTGCAGCCTTAGGGTAGATGTGTGCAACCCAACAGTGCGGTAAGGGATTGCTTAAGAATTGCTAAGGAAGCAGTCACTGGTTTCTGCCTTTGAAGACAAAGCACTCTTGCATATATTTCCTCCTAGCATAACAGCCAACATGGATCTGAATTCTTCCCCTCTTCCTTCAAAAGTCAATACTTGAGAATTACTGCAACCCTGGGTAGTGCTTTGCTGTTCTGGGTTGTTTTTTTTTTTAAACACAATGCAGCTAGAACATCTTGGTTGAGGAGTGTATTTTGGGGGTGGGGGCAGAGGAGGAGAACGTGTTTAACAGTAAAGCTTGTTTGTTGATTGTTTTGATTAAAAGGAGGGCAAGATGTGACAGCGTCTTTGTCATTGGGAACTAGTGGAAAATCCTCTTCTGTGGAAATTTTGAAAGCACTTTGCCTTTAAAGTGGTGCCTTTAGGTTTTTTTAAGGTGACCATGGCTGTTAACATTTGTAGTTGCATGCCATCTGATCCCCTCATAACAGCCATAAGGGCCCTCCATACAGTTTCGGAACCCCGATTGGGCCCTCAGGCCAAAAAGTTTGCCCACTCTTGGTGTAATCCATTGTTCCTTCTTAAGTGGAGTACTTTGCATTTGTCCTTTTTGAATTTCATCGTATTTACTTCAGACCATTTCTCTAGATCATTCTGAATTTGAATCCTATTCACCAAAGCACCCACAACCCCTCCCAGCTTGGTATAGTTCACAAACTTTATAAGTGCACTCTATCTAAATCATTTGATTAAGATATTGAACAGAATCAGACCCAGAACTAATCCCTGTGGGACCCACTTGATATGCCCTTCTATCTTGATTGTGAACCACCGATAACTACTTTCTGGGAATGGTTTTCCAATTAGTTATGCACTTACCTTTTGTGGCTCCAACTAGGTTATATTTCCCTAGTTTGTTTATGAGATGGTCATGCGAGACAGTATCAAAAGCTGCACTAAAGACAAGATATACCACATCTACTGCTTCACCCCCCTTGTTACCCTGTCAAAGAAAGCTATTACATTGCTTTGACATGATTTGCTCTTGACAATAAGGTGAAAAGTAACAGCATGGATTTATCTTTAGTGTTTGCAAATTGATTGCTTAATTATTTGCTCCATTATCTTTCCGGGTACTGAAGTTAAGCTGACTGGTCTGTAATTTGCTGGGTTGTTCTCATTTCCCTTTTTATAAATGGGCATTATATTTGCCCTTTTCCAGTCCTCTGGAATCTCTTCCATGATTTTTCAAAGATAATTGTTAATGGCTCTCATCTCCTCAGTCAGCTCCTTGAGTATTCTAGGATGGATTTCATCAGGCCCTGGTGACATCTAACTTGTTCTTTCCCTATTTTAGCCTCTGATTCTATGTCATTTTCACTGGCATTCACTGTGTTAGATGTGCAATTGCTACTAATCTTTTTGGTGAAAACTGAAACAAAACATTTAATACTTCTGCCATTTTCACACTTTCTGTTCCTGTTTTTCCCCCCTCATTGAGTAATGGACCTACCCTCTCCTTGGCCTTCCTCTTGCTTCTAATGTATTGTTTTCTTGTTCCCCTTTGTCTGTAGCTAGTTTAATCTTTTGTGCCTTGGCCTGTTTAATTTTATCCCTACATACTTGTTTGTTTATATTCATTCTTCATAATTTGACCTAGTTTCCACTTTTTGTAGGACTCTTATTTTGAGTTTCAAATCAATGACAATCTCCTCGTAAAGCCAAGGTGTCCTCTTGCCATGCTTCCAATCATTCCTATGCAGTGGAATATTGTGCCCTTAATGTCTCTTGAACTGTTTTTCCCCTTAGACTTGCTTCCCATGGGAATCTTACCTACCAACTCCATGAATTTGCTAAAGTCTGTCTTCTTGAAATCCATTATCTTTATTTTAATTTTCCTTCCTACCATTTCATGATCACTTTCACCTGTTGCCTTCCCCTTGTCAAGCAAATCTAGAACAGCCTCTCCCCTCATAGCCTATATGTCTGTCCCACAGTGCCTACAGTCTGAAAGGGGTACATTTATTTCTCTGTCCCAGAGAAATAGCATAGCTCTGTCTATAGCTGGTATTTAAATAGCCCTATTACTGTAGTATGATCAGCTCCTATTCTTTAGTGTATGCTCACAACAGCCCTGTGAAGAAGGGAAATGCTATTACCCTGCTTTACTGCTAGGAAGTCTGTACTGGACAGGGAATTGAGTGCAGCTCTCTCAAGTCCCAGGCTTGTACACTAACCACTAGTTCTCTGTGCTGTCTTAATAAAAAGGGGGCCCCAGATTTAGTAAAATTCTGCAGGGGCTTTTCAGCCAGTTTCCTTATTTACCAAATGGATGGTTAGAGCAACATGGTTTAGTAGACTGAGTACTGCTTGAGGAAGGTTGGGAGTTATTTCCTCAACTGTTAGTGGCTCCCAGAGCAGCCACTAAGCTGCAAAGGAGCAGCTTGCATGGGTACAGTGACACTTGTATTTCTCAGTGAGAAGAGCAGCACTGACTTTTAAAGGCTGAATTGTTTCCACAGAGGGGCCAAGACAAACTTGCACACCAAAACAGCAATTTCATGTGTTTTTAAACTATTAAAGCTCACATTTTAACATGACTTCTTTCTTGTTTTTCTGTCCTGGGACTGTAATTATGCCTTAGGGGTTCATGATGAAAGCAGCAGGACTCAGAGCTTTAGGAAGCCTTGATAAGTCACTGAATGCTGTAACTCAACTACTCCTGTTTGTATAACATGGGGGGGGGAGTGATAAGTAGCCATGCTTAAAAAAAAAAAACCCTAAACCCTCACTTTCCATAGCACCTACAGTTAGTTAGGCGTAGCAATTTATACAACAGAGAGAAGGAAAGTGATAGCAAAATACCACTCAGCTTCTGGTGTAGCTCTTTCAGGTAGGGTGATCTCAAATGGGCAGTGTTCAATGGGGCCTCAACCTGAGCGAAAAGTCTTATTTCCTTAGCCTTACATTTTTAGCTGGGCCCCTTACACTGAAAAGCATGTTGCTGCAGTGATGTTTGGAAAGAGAAGGCAGCAGCAAAAGTGTCATTCAGACACAGGTGGATTTCCTACCAAGGTCCTGTAACTTGATAGTACAAAGGCCAATAACAAAGACAAAGTAATGAGTAATAGCAGGGACAATTTAACCTTCATGTTACACACTGCAGGACTAACCACCAAAATGAAGGACTAATTTTCTCAATTTAGAGGGCCAGGCCCCCCAGAATACATAAACTGTTAGGAATATTCAGAGGGTTAAGGGATAGAAAAAGAACATTAATCAGTGCAGCGACTTCATTTCAGTCACTGTAAAGAGAGAAACAAAAATAATTAAGGGGCAGCTACTAAGAAAGGACAGTGACCCTTCAAGTTTGAAAAGGAGAGGAATACAATAAGGAATGGGATAAAAGGGCCAGTTCAATGCTTCTTTTTATGTGCTATGCTGCTGCAAGAACAAAAAGGAGAAACTTATTAGAAAGCAATGCACCTAAACAGCATCAAAGGGCTAATTTTAGAGTGTATCATTACCTAGTAGAACTTGGTGGTGCTGAATATTTTTTGAAGATCCAAAAAAATAAATATTCAAAATGTAAAGCCAACCACTCAAGGAACCAGCAAAGGGTTTGTTTTGCAGAGATGGTCTTCAAATATGAATGGAGCAGGATGCTCTCTAGGCAGGGGGTTTCCTTATGGAAGGTCTTCAGTATCTAAAGTTACACTAGCTACAATAAAATTAAGTGTGGGAACTGTTAAAGCTGAGGTCACAGAAGTATTTCCCACCCTCCAATACAATAAGACATCATAGAATCATATAGAATATTAGGGTTGGAAGGGACCTCAGGAGATCATCTAGTCCAACCCCCTGCTCAAAGCAGGTCCAATCCCCAATTTTTGTCCCAATCCCTAAATGGCCCCCACAGGGATTGAACTCTCAACCCTGGGTTTAGCAGGCCAATGCTCAAACCACTGAGCTATCCCTCCCCCATTATGTAAGTGCATTGTGGCCTTCCTCCGAAGCATCCATCACTGACAAAAGGAGATAGGAGACCGGAATAGCTGACCTATGTATCTGTTCTTGTGTGGCAATTCCTGAATTTTATAAGCTCCCCTCCCATTAACCCCAGCAGCATCGTGTTCATAGTTTTTCCATAAATCGCAGAATTTGCAGCTCTAAACACAGGTAAGAAAGGTGGCTCTAAACTCTCAAACCCACAGAAGTGTGTTTTCATTTCACTTTAATAGACACTTGCAGTAGAACGATAGCATGTATTACAGCACTCACCTGTAGTACTGTACATGGAACAGTGATGGCTTCTTAAAAAAAAAACAAAAAAAACCAGACACCACTAACTTGATCTGTTTCTGAGAGTCAAAGTTACACTTTTTACCTCTTTGGTACTTGCCAAGTCAGCAGTTCCCACCAAGGTGCCAACACCTTGTGTGTTTACTGGCCAAGTGACTAATGACTCTATGGGGTTAATCAGCTTAGTGCTCTCCTGGGTGACCCCGAAGATCCTGATGAGACTGGTCCCTCTGAGGTGACTTCTCACTGCACTGCTGGCTGGAGCATCTGTTCTCTCCTTCTGGGGTCACAGAAGAATTCGAGCTTCCGGGGTAACAGCTTCACTTCAACAGGCATGGCCTCATACTCCTCGCTATCTATGCCAAAGGAGCCCTCAGTGCCCTGTGTAGAATCAAGTGTAGGTCAGATGTAATAGTGAATCAATTGTTACAATGATGCTGTAACAGTGGTACCTGGGCCCACTTACGTCTCCACTTCAGAGTGCTGCTGGGTTCCCTGCTGGGTCTTGACCCCCTCTGCCGTTTAGCCACACCAGTACATAGAGAGCGGTTACTGGCTGCACATACTGTATTAACCAGCTGTCATGTAAAATATTACCTCGCTCAGTAACTAATTGGCAATTTGGCAGGAATTAAATGCTAGATCCCTTTAATGGTCTGCATTGTTTAGATTTAAGGATTCTTTGCCCTTGGAATTACTATTTACAGCTGGGCTGAGTTTTTCTTTGAGATTGAAAAAAAATTAAACAGTGATTATTTTGGTTCAAAACAATCCCGCTCAGACCTCTATTTTACACTGACACATACACAAAATCACCAGTGATTAATGCCAGTCCATCAACATGGTAATGGGTTTACTTTTGTACATAAACCATGTGCTTGCCTTCTGTTATTAAAGACCTCATCAGCAGTTAGGGAGTAAACAGAGTCTGTCTTGACTGTATCCAGCCCTGAGCCGGACAGTTTTTGCAGGTATTTGCAAAGCCGCAGATTGTGATGATGTCGAAGCCATGTGTGAACGAGGATGCTGGCTAATGAAAACATTCATTATTCAGTCCAGTTGCCTGGGTGAGGACTTTACCAGAAGAGCAGAGTGCCAAAGATTCTCTCAACTCCTGGGAAGGGCCACTCTGCCAGGGTATGGATCTCATTTTTCCACAAGGCATATCAGGTCTCTAAAGAGGATTATAATAGCTAAAGATGTGGACATAACCTAGTAGATCGACTCTATACCCTTGCAAATGCAGGGCTTAGTCTTATTAAGATGATGTACTGGGATGTTAAACCCAAGCTAACATCTACCCTGCTGCCTTATTTTTAGGAGGCAACTAAAAATTAATCTGCTCAAACATTTCCTCAGTGTAAGGGCTGCCCACTTATCTAAGGTCTTGGTATTCATATCCGTAGCGCCTTTTGATCATTATTTCCCTCCTGGCCTCAGCTCAGTTAGCATGGGTCTTCATAATCCCACACCTCTGCTCTCCATCTTTTCACCTCTGGCAGAACCCTTCTAGACTGGCAATCTAAAGAAAGATTTAAGTACTCAGAGACTAGCCAGCAGAGGGGATGTGCACACACTAAGACATGAACTTTAGCAGGAGGCTGTTTTTCTATCCTACTCACACTGCAAGCATGTGGACACTTTTTGCTGGCTGGATGGACAGGAACGAACTGCTTCTGGAGCTGGGCCACACAGTTCCTACACTAGCCACAGACATGTACAGTAGTGATGCCTGACTCGGGATTACATCTTGGGTCTCCTGGTTTGGGAACCCATTTGTCTTTCTGACGGGCTGCACTGGAGGTGGCTTGCCTTATTGACAGTGAGGACAGCATGACCACCTGTCAATGTTGCACTAAGAAAGAAGTGACCCAGCTTTCCACAATTTCTGGCTTCTCACCTCTGGAAGCTGCAAGATGCATCTGCTGGCTTGGACACACTGACTTCCTTCAGGGCACAACTGGGGGTCACACATCTTTTGACTTCTGTTCAAATCAAATGAGGAAAAAGAAATATTAGCGTTCAGCAGAAGCAACCAGGCTTACAGGCACAAGACATACAGGAGGGTCATCAAGTGATTGTTAATTTAATTTCCTCCTTCCAAAAGAAAGTATGAGAGCTTTTGTGGCTGCAAGCATGAGGGACAGTTAGCGCTTCCTGGAGGTACCTCAATGCACAGAGGCAGCACAAGGTCTATGCATTCCTAAGTCCCATTAACATATGCTTCATTTAGAGGGATTCAGTGGCACACAGACCTTTTGCTGACCCTCTGTACGAGAGAGAATTCCCCCATGCCCCAAAAGAACTGATCGCTGTATGTCTCTTCCTGTTCCCATATGCCAGAGACAGGCAGGTAAACAGAATAATACAGTCCCGACCTTCGTGTATTGTGGCTCTCAAGAAATAAGCCAGAATAATTATGGCTATTTCCACATGAGAGTTACAGATCTCCAAAACAGGTGGAGTTGCTGCAGTATTATCTGTCCAGGGTTGTTCAATTAGGGCTTGTCTACACTTACTGGGGGATTGACGCACGGTGATGAATGCATCGGCGGTCGATTTAGCGGGTCTAGTGAAGACCCGCTAAATCAACTGCAGATCACTCTCCCGTCGACTCCTGTACTCCACAGATGGAGAAGCGTAGTGGGAGTCGACGGTAAGTAGATCTAAACTACGTTGACTTGAGTTACGCTATTCACGTAACTCAAATTGTGTAGCTTAGCTCAACTTTTTCCTGTAGTGTAGTCAAGGCTTAAGGTACAGAAGGCTGTAACAGGCTGAAAAGAAAGGAAGGGGGGTTCAAACATCACTCAGTAATGGATGTCCTATGAATATATAACCAGGAAAGTCCCCTCAAAAGAGTTATGTGACTTTGGGAATGCAAACACTCTTAGAATTCATGCTGTGAAGTTGTGGGGGACAGGGGATGAGGGAAGAGGACCACAAATAGGGGAGGAGGACAAAACCACAGAAAGGAAAGCTGAGATACCACAGGAAAGAGACAGGTGAGGAGACAAGCAATGTAGACATTGGGAAGTTTGTTTTTAACCATCTATATTAAAAGATTAATCAGTGAATTCAAGGGAGTTAACTTTCTCATAGTAGTATATATTTATAAATCACTGACAGCATGCAATGCTCTTGATTTATACTGTGCTTTATAAACAAACAGTTAGACACCTTCCCTATTTCAGAAGGGTTCATGTGTTTGAATCCTGCAAACACATCTGTGCAGGCGGACCCCTCTGTCTGCATAGGGCACCACTAAAGTCAATGGGCCTCCACATGGGTGCATACT